ATATGAAAAATCATGTGATATGACGTCATTTTGACTATTTCGCGACTTTAGCCTTCAATGGTCGAAATGATTTCGACTATTTTGACCATTTCGGATATCTGAAATGATCCATTTCGACTTCATGTATAATTATAACAGATGAAGTTATAAATGATTGTACTAAAAGTGAAATAAATACAATTTTTTTTATAAAAACTATACAAAATTAGTTTCAGTATATTTTTTAATTCAAGTTAATAATACAACAATTGGTCAAAATTATGTTAATATTATTATAATCCTTCAAATTCCTTTATCTTCTTCTTAGATTTTTATTACTGATTTTGCTTCATATATAAAAAAATGTTTTATAGAAATTTTGAAGCTTTAATGCTACAACTTATTCATATTTTATATTTTGCACATATTATAATTTAATTAGACAAGTAAAAATTTAATACTTTATATTTATATAATTATTTAGATGTAAAGTTATAATATTTTTCATTTATATTATTAGTTATCTAACTTGATCATTTATCATAATTTATAAACAATAAAAATTTTTAAAAAAAAAATTATTATATTAGTAATTTTTTTTTTTTTACTAAAATAAAATGTAAAAATATATTAATATTTTTTTAAAAAAATATTAAAAAGTTAATAAATATTTAGTTTATTTTAATTATACTATATATATTATTTTTATTAAATTAAATTAATGATTTTTTTTTTGGTTACTGAATATGATACCTGCTAATTTATACTAACAACCTTATTAATCTCATCCAATATATCTTTTATTATTCTATTTCAAGCCTATTTGAATTGACCAATCATCAGCTTTAATAATAGTCATACTTTAAAAGACTTTCTTATATGATTGAAGTTATGAAGTTAAATAAGAAAAACCTTAGTATTATTAAATATTAGCTATGTCTATTGGATGTTTACTAAAGTCTAATTAGAAAATGTGGTAAGTTTTTATTATATTATCAAATAATATAAGAATTAAACCCAACTTTTAACCCTAGAATGACCTAGATATTATAATAAAAGAAAATAATACAATATCAGCTATCTATAACTGATGACTATCTACCTTTGAGTGTTATAACCATATATTATATAATATTTATCACTAATTATACTCTTACAGGTATTTTTTGCAGATAATGCAATGCTTGTTTATTACAAATCAGAATTAGCTATAAGTTTCAAACTCAATTATTCAGTTAAAAAGTTTTACACAAATAATTATTTATGTTCTTTTTAAACAATTACATAATATATATTTACAATCTTATAATCAAAATATCATATTTAATCCTTTCTCTTCATCAATCATTTTAATCATTTTGAAATTACCAATAATTTACCATTATCCAAATATGCGAAGTGTTACTAGACAAAAACTAATTTAATAATATAAATTTAATTATAACTAATTAAATGTTTTTTATTTCATAAAAAAAAATGTTTCGATTTGAAAAAAAAACTTTTTATATCATATCAAATATAAATAGTAAATTTTCTTTAAAGTAAAACTAAATAAAAAAAACATTTGTTCAGTTTAAACTTTATTTTTTGAGATAATACAGCTCATAATAAATAAAAAAAAAGGAAAAATATGTAAACTGCTCAATTGTACCTGAAAAATAAAAAGATCAAGAACTGGATATCACTCACAAAAAGTAGGTATTTTAAAGCAAAAAAGCCAAGATTAAACAATATACCGCTTGATGAAAATTTTAAAAAATAGATGAAAAGTATATTTATTATCATTATTATGATACTTATGATACAGAAAAATCAATCACTTACATCGACCTAATAATAATGATCACTTATTAACTCACATTAATACTGCATTATATTAATAATAAAGCAAAAGTTGATAAAGAAATAATTAAAAAATCACAAACAACTTTTATTACTCAATATGTTATTAATATTGAATAATAATATAAACAATTTGCAATGCAGTAATAATAGTAATTCACAATACAAAAGTAACAAATATAATAATCTTTTATCTAACTTAAAATATTGTAAAAAATGTACTAATACAAAATTTTAAATTAGTTTGTAACAGTTTTTTTTCATGTTACATTGGCAAAATATGAGACTAAAGGCAAAAATTATCAAATTTTACAAAATGATATTCTTCTTGATAGTAATAAAAAAGTTAAAGAATATTTTAAATATGATAATTATATGAGAAAAACTTATTCTCAGTTCTGTTCACTATGTGTATCTTTAGCTTTTAATAAAGCTTTAATTAACATAATCATTGCATGCAAATTCTCATTGCTCAAATTAATTATTTGTTTTTTCTAAAAGAGAAACAAATAGTTTCTCAAACTATATACACTCAGTTCAATCATAATTTAGATTGTAAATAACTTAATATGAATTTTAATCAGCTTAGTGAAGTAATCACAAATACTATCAAACATTAGCCTGGATCAAACATATCTAATGCTCTCAAAAATCTTTTAAGTTATATTATTCTTGAACTTAAGGATAATTCTTATCATTTACTTATCAAATCATATCTAGCACTTGGTCAAATTAATGAAGCTGTTGAAACAAATGGACTGAAAAAATAAATTAAAAAATGCTAAAGCTCTGAATCAGGTTAGGTTAACCTGTAACCTGACCTGACCTGACCTAAAAATCCAGGTTGGGTAAACAAATTTTCAGGTCAATATCAGGTCAGGTCAAACTTATGATCTGACTTAATAAAATTCTGGTCAATCAATCAAATTAAATAAAATAAAATATTAAAAAAATATTTTATTTTCATTTATTTTTTTTTAAAACATCTTTAATTTTTTTAATATATTTTCTTTTTATATTCTAATAAAATTATTTGTATAATTACTTTGTAATTTATTATAATCAAAAAGTTAAATTTTAAATTATAAACATTTTTGCAATTACATTGACCAACAAATTATTTTTAATTTTTTTTATCTATTCAATTATTTTAAAAAGCTATTTGAATACTTTGGTTAAAGGAAATCGACTTTTGTCATATAAGTAAAGTTGCTCAGAAGATTCGAAAATATGTGCATATAAAATTTTATTATAATTAGATTAATAGTTGTAAAGTTATGCATGTTTTTATAATTGTATTATCTCCAAAAATGTTTTTTATTTTTTTATTCATGTAGTGACTTTAAAGAGCAATTTAAGCATTTTAGTCAAATAAAGTTGACTTTGGTCACATAATTAATGTTGTTCAATAGATTTCAAAATATGTAAATATAAATTTATATTATAATTAAATTAATGGTTGTAAAGTTATGCAAATTTTCCTTAATTGTATTATCTTACAAAATTTTTTATTTTATTTTTTATTTGTACAGTGAATTCAAAGAGCAATTTAAGTATTTTTGTCAAAGAAAATCAACTTTATTGCATAAGTAAAGTTGTTTAGTGGGTTTAAAAATATATAAATATAAATTTTATTATAACTGGATTAATGGTTATAAAGTTATGCACATCTTTTGTAATTGTATTATCTTATAAAATTTTTTAATTTTACTTTTTATCTGTATAGTGACTTTAAGGAGCAATTTAAACATTTTGGTCAAAGGAAGTCAACTTTAGAAATATAAGTAATATTGTTCAGTGTATTCGAAAATATGTGAATATAAAATTTTATTATGATTGGATTAATTGTTATAAAGTTATGAACGTTTTTTGTAATTATATTAGCAGTTACCTGATTTGCAAATTTATCATAACTTGTAATTTTTAAATTCTGCAGTTAAAATATTATTATATTAGTAAACTTTTTTTTTGAAAAATAATAAAATGTAAACATGTATTAATATTTTTTTATATTTTTTTAAAAAATATTAAACAAAATTTAGTTTTTTATGTTTCTTATTAATTATATTATTTTATATTTAAATATAAATATTGCTAAACTAATAAAACTAAAAAATTCCTTTTTTAGATAAGTCAGGTCAGGTCAAATTGGGTCAAATATATATTTAATTCAGGTCATTTTTATATCTGACTTAACTGACCTTATCAGGTTATGTCGAGTTAATTATCTGATCTGATATGACCTGTTTAAAGCTTTAGAAAATGCATAACTTTTATGATTGACAAGACTATAGATGAGCAACATTTAGTATTTTATGGCATGATATAAGCAGTTACTAAGGTTCTTGAGAAGATGGAATGTGGAATAACCTCAATGCGAAAATAGGAAAATATAATAAAAGTTTTGTGAACTTTCTTATTGTATTATTCAATAAGTACCTTATCAATTCAATGTATTACTACAAATTTAGCTGGACTAATAATTCAATTTATATGTAAAAAAAGAAATAAAGATAATAAATTTTAATATTTATGTTAGCATATAATTATGATAGATCAACTATATGTGTAAAAGATCAAATAAAAGTTGCTGAAATGATTGAAGTTTGCAGAAAATGATAACAATGGATAGGATCAGTTCCAATTGATACTTTAATAGTATCTTATTTAATGACCGTTGAGGAGCTTCACACAAAAATTTCTTCATTTGAAAAAGCAATATATATTACTGTTTTCGTATTATTAGCTATTTTACCAGGTATTTCACTGTTGGTTTAGCTGTTATACCATCAAATCAAAAAGAAACTAAAGCTAATGCATTTTTTAAAATAATACAATTTTGAAAGAATTAATAAAATTAAATGCTAAACCTATTAAATTTTACGTTGATAATGCTACTCATGATAATAAGTCTTGGATTAGAGAAACCTATACTAAAAATTCTCAATTTACAATGATCTTAGAATTATAATAGTAAATATATTATGGTAATTATTATATTTATGTAATATTATTAAATAAAATTTATTACTAAAACTGTTTAATTATTTTAGGATGATAAAATATTTTTTTCAAGAAAATTTTCCAATAAAATTACAGTCATACCTCTCTATAGCGAATTTTTATATAACGAATTTTTTGGACAACTATATTAAATTTACCCTCGTTATAACGAACTAGCCAATCAAATTCTTTAAAAAATTCACTATAGCTCTATAGCGAAGTTGAAGTTCAGAACATAAAATTCGTTATATCAAGGGTTGACTGTAGATTGTTTGACAATACTCAGTTTTTGATTAATAAAACTAATGTTTTTCATTATGTTAAAAAAGATATTAAATGCAAATTTTTTTATAATTAATAAATTGTAAATATTAAACTTAATTATGTTAATATAGGTTAAAATATGCATAATAAAGGTGCATGAGTTTGTCTAATTGGTAATTTTGTTATATTAATAAACATCTTTGATATTTAAAAGGGCTATATAAAAGCAAATTAGGCTTAATAAATAAAATATTAAATCTAAAGGATAAACAAGCAGATATACTTGCTGAAAATTTTTTTTCTTCTAATATATTAAAAGGTATATAAAGGTTTAATATTTTTATTATTAATATTGCATAAATGCAATAATTTATATTAATTATTTAATTTTTAGCTATGGCTCAATATGCTATTAAATATAATGATGATTTATTTTATGGGGGTACTTTATATTATTTTTTTGCATGATTATTGATTGAATTATAGAAGTCACATATAATAGATCACCTAAATAGAATTAGATTTGTATAAGCTGCAATAATATTTTTTACAACAATACATAATTACTTATTATCAAATCTAAATTAATAAAATTCCCAAAAATATAGCATATTCTGATAATAAATGATGATTTTATTTATCTTTACTTTTTTAATTCTTCTAATCTATCAATTTCTAAATTATTATCCTGAAGTGCTGTTATGTTTCTAGTTGATTTTTATAATCTTTTTAGAATATATCTTTGGTTATGCATGACAAATGATAAAGAATTTTACTGTACTAGATTTTTTAATAATGAATGAAAAAGTAATTAAGACAATTTCAATTGAAATGAAAGATGAGATTTATTATTCTATAAAAAAAACCTTGATATTTAAAAAATATTAATTTTATTTTTGGCTTTTAAGGAAACTTAATAATAATGATAGATATAATATTTACTTTTTAATTGCAAAAAATAACCTTTTAAAAGCTTTATCAGACTTTTTAAATGTATATAATATAGATTCCAATATGTTACAAGTTAGTGAATTAAACTTTAAATCTATTTTTAAACTCAAAATTATGTAATTATTAATAAAATTTAATTATTATAGGTTTCAAAGACAACGAATCTATATTACAAAGTATAGGAATTAATTACAAATCATCTGAATACATTATCATTATTCAGAACATGTTGCATACCTAAAACATAATGGCATTACATTTGATTTTGGTAATGTCACTGATGATATTAATAATAATGATATTGATAATGATAATTTAGATGATGGTAATATTTATGAAGATTCAAATTAGCTAAACATATCAGCTGATTATTAGATTTGGACCGAAATTAAAGACTCTAAATTACTATTAAATGCATGTGATCGTTGTAACTGTTACACTAATTTCATATATTGATCATCTGACTCACATACTAAAAAGAACCCTAAAATAAAAAACTATTAACAAGTGTCGCGTCGAACCCATCTCTTCACTATTAAACCCATCTCTTCTAAAAGTATGTGTATTGAATGTACTTAGTTACATTTTACTGAAATTCATGATTAATTATATGTCTTGTTTTTGTATTTAGGTAATATGAGTCAATATAACGGTATTCTCACACCTTCGGTAACTCTAATGACTAGATTTGAATGTAATGTGTGCGGAAAACTGTTTAGAAAAAAGGGAGGATTAACAAGACATCTTAATATTATTACAAAATACAATATTTTACATCTTAATATTAACATTTTACCTGAAAGTACTATACGCCAATTTAAAGGTATTTTAGTTCATTATATTCATAAGCGATTACCAAGAGGATACAAACAACTAGGAAAACAAACAGTCTCTGTTTCTGTTACAAAAAGTCAATTTTACACATATTTAAAAATCATATACATTATTATTCAGCTAGAAAGAGTATTTACAAGTATATATTTCGTGGGGCTTCAGCAAATCAAGTATTGGCAAATATTCTAAAAATACAAGAATAGAAGGTTAAATTTTACGATCAATAACAACGCACTTATGTTATACTTTGTGATAATAATAGTAATATTGAAGCCGATAAAGAAATCCTATTATACAGACTTCTAAACAGTGCAAACCAAGATACAAATATAGGCAACTTGTAGTGGAATGGAAGTAATAAAAAAATATTGATTTCAATAGTAATTTCACATGAGCAGGTCATATTTATTTTCATTTCTTTAACAGTCAGGCTATGATTCAGTGAAAATAAATGTCTGTATTAAAATATCAATTCAAATTCTCTTTTTAAACAAATTAATAGTTCCTTTTCTAAGTAAGGATTAGATAAGTTAAGAATTAATAAGATTATTTAAAAGTAAGAAAATAAGAATATTAGCCGGTAAGGCTATAAAAATATTATTTTGCTTAAGTTTTATATTAATCATATTAATCAGTAATTTAATTTATTTAGTCTATTGCCACCTCTTTCTCTATCAATTCAAAGAAAAAGAAAATAAAACACCACGTAATGATAAGAATCTGTTAAAAAAATTTAGTTAGTATATGAAAAAATGCCACAAATATGTTATCAAACTAAGAGCTTATTACAATAAAATTATATTTTTATTGACGAATTTTGTATGATGTACAATCTTATTTATAATAAAAGAAATTACATTTCTTTAAGTTTTAATGTGAATTTTTTTGGAATTTTGGTAATTTAAAGGAGTATTATTGTGATTATAAAAGAGTATGCGATTTTCATGTAGAATTTCAATAATTGCTGATGATTGAAATTTCTTTTTCCCGCCATCTTTCATTGTCTTACGAAAAAAATAAGAAACTTGTTCATGATTTTTTTTTCAACACCACTACAGGAAAATGCTTTTAATCACCATTTCTGATGAATTGCCATGAATTTGGAAATATAGGGCCTTTGCAATAGAAAGAGGGAAAACAGCCAGAAAAATCAAAAGTGGGTTAATGCTAAATTTGAACATATTTCAGCATAAAAATCATATTTGGCATATAAAAGTAAAATTAATTTTTTCCGGCAGTTTCCCCCCTTTCTATTGCAAAGGCGGCCTATATAATAAACCAATACATGAATATATAGAGTCATATTATCAGGTTGATATAGGCCTTTCTTAAATCCCTGAGTATTTGAAATACCTTCAGATGGTGTTAAAAATAAGGTAATCCAATTTTTTACATCACGTTGAAAATCTTCAGCTTTTGTTGTAGGATCCTTTATTTTTATGTAAAGCTCATAAAATTTGTTTCACAAAACTCGTATCATTGCAGCACGTCTTCTTGAAAGAATTTTCGTTAAGTCAAAAAATTGTAATACTTTAAGTTTATCATCTCCCATTAAATGAGGCATAATTCCAAGTCTTAGATCCTCAATCTTGCCAAAATTAAAAATTTACTTTAATTTTTTTCATCTCATCTATAATTATTTTTTGTGCAATATCGTTAAATATATCCTGTTCCATTAATTCTGCTATTAAAAGATTTCACAATCAATCAGTGATTCGAAGCATTACATGTAGTTCATCCGGAATCTAATGATTAAGAGGTATCATATCAAAAAGTGGTTTTTGAAATGTTTTTCATAGTAATTGTTTTGCTCAACTAATTTATTTCTTTCTTTACTAATTATCCAATCCTTTGATAGATCTCCTTGTTGTGATTTGTTAATTGTATACCAAGGACAGAAATTTTTACTGTGAGTGCCATTAAATTCTAAGCAAATTGCTAAGAATTTCCAATCAGATGAAAAATACAACTGGAAATTCCACTTTATATTGTTAATAACTAATTCTTGATCTTTTAAACTTCTTAAATCATTACAAAATGGAGTCATCACGTTTGATAAAGAATTATAATCTTCACATCCAGGGTAAAGCACAGTTGTATAATGATGATTTGGTTGGTGTAAAGTGCTTTTATCATGTAAGATAGCTATTGTAATCATCACGTGCTTTACTTTTCTACCAACATTTCTTCCATCTCCAGAGATCCGAAGATGAATAGTTGGATTATATGGATTCAAAATTCTTTTATGAACAAGATCAGAAATTAAATATTGCAAAATGTCTTTAATATTCCTGTAACCACCTTTACCAAACGCATCAATCACTTCTTGCACTATGGCTTCATCTTCTATATCTGCTTCTTCAGATTGATCTACTTGATTTTCAGTATTTACGTCTATTATTGATATTGGTATGAGCCGAGCCATTTCTTTATTTATTTTCTGACATTCTTTTGATACTGCTCCTTCACGAGGTAAGTGAGGCTCTATAACACATAATTAATATCAATGGTATGTTTTTTAACAGAATAACATATACTTTCTAATACTGGCATATCTTCTGAATTGTAAAGTTTCGATGCTTTCTTATTAAATTCAACTAACATACGTGTTCTAATATTTGTAGCTTGTTTTGTAAGAATGGAATTGCCGCATTGATTAACTGGCTTTAATATATGTGTATATCGTTTTCTATCTCTTGCCTTATCCAATATTTTAAGATGAAGGCCAAATAAATAAATGCCTGATGTTTTGGTTCCTTTTTGAGAGGTGTATTCCTAAAGGATAAAAAGTCTTAAATTAGTTTGTATAAAAAGTAAAAAAAAAAAATCAATAAATATCTAAAATAATTTAATATATAAACCTTATGAAATAAATTTGTCACATCTGTAGTTGACTTGAATGAAAAAACTTTATATTCGAAATATTTTCCAAACCAGATTTGAAAAACTGGTTTATCATCAATGTAATTAATAAGACATTGAACAGTACACTGATTTTTGCTTTTTCCCCAGGTTGTTTCCACTATATAATCATTGGAAATTCGGTACTTATTAGGAGGAAGAGTATATGCTAATGATGATTTATTAGGATATACACCTTCTTTTATAACTTTATATGAAAAACTATGTCCTGGTTGTTTAAACTTAATGATTAGGTCAAAAGGATAGTTGTGAATTTCTTCGACACCAGCCATTTTCGAGTAAAAATGACATGTACCATTTTTTCTTACGGTAATTAATTGTATATAAAATAATTTTGAAACTTAATTTTGTTGATCGAGATGATCATGGTTAAAAGTAGTATTAGCCCTTATAGCTCTTTTTCGGCTACTTCATGAGGGATACCATCTTTGACCATATTCTTATAAATCATATCAATGCCCATATGGTAAAGTAGTTATCCTATCTGATAATATCCAGCATTTAGTATCTATAGGACAGAGTGCCTTTTTCTCAGACTCGACTAGAGATAATATGTGATCCTTTGATCGGATACCCACATTTTTGGCATAGAATACTTCCTTCCCAAAGAGACAATCCAGATATACTAAAGTTATAGGATCTGCCTCAGTTTGCATAGTCAAATCTTTAGCTTCTTGTTCTGATAATAATGACTTATCTATTGGAGCATCAAGCAATGATCCTTCTAAAGTTGGCATATATGAATCCATAGCCATCTCACCCATACCTTTTTTGATAACCCCCTTATGTCTAGAATTCGTGAACTTATCAATTAAGACATAGTGATATAATTTTACCCGAATATGCGTTGATAATGAAATTGTATTACCAGGAGTCTCGTCCTTATATTTACTAATAGTTTGATCCCCATTAAGATTAAAGAGGTCAGGTCATTCAGACATATCTTTATAAATATTCTCAGTCTTAGTTGTGAATATGAAAGAATCTGTATCCATATAACCTAGCTGAACCTTATTACCGTATCTTTCTTTCGCATATCCATACCAGAATTTGTACATGTGAAGTTTGCTAAGACCTAAAACAGATGCTCCAACTATGATAGGAGTCACGCTAGTTTTTCCTATATACGCTCCCATGCGGACCTTATTCAAGAAAGCTTTTTCATCTCGCTCATTATTATTTTTCATCATCTTGATATCCTGGTACTTGCGAACATTTTCCATAGTCTTGCCATATACTACAACCATACCTAATTCTACATAGTATTGAAGCTTCAGGTAATGAATGACATAGTACTTTCATGGTCCAAGATGGGAAACTAATTTTTCTGTGGCAGAGAAGCGTCTACCATCTAATTGTTCTACAAGTTTAGTATTATAAGAACATAACCAATCCTTTTCTACAATGACATTTTCCACAGCTGGAGGCAAGTCTTTTAAATATTCATGAGTCTTTAGAGGGAAATAGGAATTAATCATTAAGTAGAATCCACGTTTAGCATCAAATCATGTAATGAGAATCTTTTCAAGGTATTTCTTCTGCATAGCTGGATTTTTTAGTAAATATTCTTGACTAGTTTCCTATTGATAATTTCTGATAGGCAAATATTGGCTCATAGAATGTCCATAAAGATTTGTTGTGTCTACATACGAGATCCAAGATGTGGGTTTGGATGGATTAAATTCCTTCCCCATCTTAGGATTATTGGCCTTAAAGTATCGTTGACAGGCCATAAATATACTACCACGATTAGCTTTTTCAATAAAATCATGCATGGCCATATCTGTGAAAAGTTCAATCCTAACTCCTGACATCTTAAGTATTCCATCCCAGTATAATGATGGGGCAGAAACATAGTGACTGGGATCAAGTTCATAATACTCCATAGACATTTTTCGAAACTCTGTCTAGACTAAGTATGTCAGTTTTGAGAGATCATAGTATTCGAATTCCTTCCATACTTTCTGGGCGTGTTTGTAGTCATCTTGTGAAATCTTACCTTTAAGAGTACTATAAAATTCATGAATGGGAGGAAGTTCTGTCTCCTGAAACCTATCATGAGAATCAATATAGTCATAGGGATAAACTCCTTTGCGATATACTAATGCTAATTGCTCTTCTATATAACTTAATTTTTGAAATATTGGCTTGTTATTGGGTGGTTATCACCCAAATTTTTTGTAAGACTGGCCAAGCTACTATTTTTATATCGCTCAAATGTTTTGGCTATAACTTGGATAGGAAAAGCATTAGCTGATCGTCCAACAGATTCACATATCAAATGAGAGTCATAACCTCAGAAGTTATGGAAGATGACTGGTATTAGAGTCTTCCAATCCTGTATTTGGAGTTTGAGATTACAATCCCTATGGGCTGATTCACAAAACTTAACTGTAATATGACAATGATCCCAGACCTTATTGGCTTTAGCTTTTTCACTAGCAATTGCCTTAGTCGCTTTATCAATAGTTGTTTCGATACCATTATATTCAGCTGAACCCTTTTTAAACTTTTCTAGCTTCTCTTTAAGATTGGTTATTTTGTTCTCTAGGCGCTTTAATTTCATCTATATCTATATTTAACTTACCTTCACAGATCTAACAGTTAATTACCTTTGCGAAATTTTTCTTGTCTTCTTCAGTCTCAATTCGCTCATGTTTGATGGCTAGGATCTCATTGATTTTGACCAGCTCTTGATCGATTCTTCGAATGAATTCTTGTGTGGCATTTTCTCCCCTGTATAGGAATGGACCCTAGACATCTCCAGTATCAATCTAGTGAACTAAATAGCAGAAACTGTTGGCCTTCTGCTTAGTGAATTTAATCATATTAGCCTCAAAGTCAGCTGTAATAACACATGTAGCATTGATCATTTGACCATAGTTTTTGAACTTCTTGTAATCATTGACCCCTTTCACTAGCATTGCGACTCTTTGAGGGGCATTTTCATATATTCCTAGACACCATTCTAAATGATGTTTTAGAGACTTTTCAGAAGGCCAGCTTATAGTGCATCCATTACATAAATATTTCTTTTCTTTATGCGCATTATCACCATATATTAATCTGCTAGGATTTTTGATCCAGAGAAAATGGTTCTTTTGACCATACTTATCTGTCTCATTATCTTTAGTAATATCTGTAAAGGCCAATAGACGAATTTTATGTTGCCTTTTAAAGTTTTTACTAGCTATCTCCTCAATCTTATTAAATATACGTAAGCAGATGGGAGTTTACATTGGGATTCCATCTAGCTTGGCTATATCTAAATAAGGTTTATATTTAGTAGCACGAAAGATTCTTTCAAGATGATTTGTATGCCCATCCTGATCTGCAAAATAACAACCTAATGCATCTTGAAGAAACTTTTCAGAAGGTCTATTTGTTTCTGGATCTATAAAAATATGATTATTAGGATTGATAGTATATTTTCTATTGGCTAGCTTCTTTGGAGTAGGAATATAAGATCCTCCTGTAGCTTGTTGGCATTTATATACCTCAATAGATATTTCAAGAATTCGCTCAAGAACATATTCAGATCCTTTTTTTAATGTATCCTTAATTTGCTTATCTATTTCTCCAACTGATTTAGTTATATGCTCATCTATATCATTTGTTAAAAGCAAATATCACATCTTCCCTCTTTCATAATTATATACAAATAATATATAACTTATGCTATCTCGATCTCTTTTAGTAATCGAATATAAACACAATGCTACTATAGCTGATTTTATTTGGTCTTTTCTACGAAACTCTGTTTGATGAACTTCTGTTATTTTCATATGAATTAGTTCCATAAGTTGAGGTGAGGTATGTATGGAATTTCTTTATATTGTATAGGATCAGCCATTGGTTGAATAAAAGCATATTTGGGATTGTTATCAGGATGGGGAACTTTTCCTACCCATTTGCTTAATTTTTATATGGTCTTTCTAGATCCCTTCCAACTGAACATTCTTCAAAATGAATATCCTCTTGAGCGGATCCTTTTGAAATCATGTCTTGCCTCTCAATCTCATCAGAATTTCCTCTTCTGGTTGGGAAATTTTGGTTTTCTTTTGTTTTTTACTAAAGAATTTTTCCATTAAATCAAACCATTCTGCATCTGTTTTAGGTATCTTTTTGTTGGTAATAGTTGGGTTGTTTTTTATCTCTAGTTTTGCTAACCAGTTAACCAAATTATCTATAGACAAATTAGTGATTTGATTCTTTTTTTCTTCTGTGGTTCTGGTTTGGAATTGGAGTTGCGATAACTACTTCTGCTTGTATCTCTTGAATAATAATTTCTGGATCTAGTCCACATTGATTTTTATTACTTTTATAATGCTGATGAAGTTTAGCAGGTCTTGTAAATTTATAATCGCAATCTCTA